ATCTTTGCTCTATTTGGAATTCACTTTGGTGTAAAGTGTGAGGTAGTGTATCTAGTTGTCCCAAGGCATTTATTGAATAGTCCACCACTTCCTGTCTACTTTGAAATGCTGTCTTCAAAAAAATTGTGGTAAAAAGCATACGGCATAAAATTCATCATATTAACCTTTTTAAACTTTATTTTTTAATGTTTATTTATTTATTTTTGAGAGAGAGAGAACACATGTGGAGGAGGGGCAGAGAAAGAGAGGGGGACACAAAATCCGAAGCAGGCTCCAGGCTCTGACCTTAAAGCAAGCAGCGAGCGTGATGTGGGACTTGAACTCACGAACTATGAGACCATGACCTGAGCTAAGTTGGATGCTCAACTGACTGAGTCACCCAGGTGACCCCATATTAACCCTTTTTAAATGTATAGTTCAGTAGTGTTAAGTTATTCACATTGTTGTGCAATAGATTTCTAGAACTTTCTTACTGTGCAAAAATGAAACTCATTGAACAACTCCCCATTGAAATGCTACCTTTTTATCATAATTTCCTGTCTTTGTCACTTCTTGCCTCAACCACTGTAACAGCCTTCTAGCATCACCATAATCCCAATCTGTCATGCACACTACAGCCTGATTCATTTTCCTCATGCCAGCTCTGACCACAACACTCCTTTATTCAAAACCTCCACAAGCCCTTCCCGATACTGCAATTGAAATTAAGCCCCCATTACACTCTTTTATAGTGCCGGTACCTTTTCTTCCTGTAATGTCTCATGGTTTGTAATTTTCATTATCTGTGTGATTATTTGACTGTTGTCTATCTCCTTGCTAAACTTCAAGCTTCATGAGAGCAAGGGCAATGTGCTGGCCATGTATTCCCAGGGCTCAGGGTGCTCCTGGTCCCCAGTAGGGAGTCAGTCCCAGTTTGTGGAATGATAGCCTTCCCCTTGCCTCTGGAATAAGGTAGAAACAATTGCAAGATCTGATACTAACTTACCTTCTCTCATCCCTCTGACCTTCAAGGAAGTCAAATTGGACTTCTTGTTCTTCCTGAAAGAGCCTTGGGCTTTTTAATGCTTGGTTCTGGTTTACACCAAGTTTTGATTTCATCTTTTTATTTGTGCTCCAATTGCTCCCTGTGCCTGAAGGCCATGCCCCTGCCCCCTCCCCCACCCCCCCACCACGTCCCCTGCCAGCATTACTACCTTATGGAAATCCAATTCATCCTTCAAGACTATGGCTGTCTCCACCACTAGACTGTGAGTTCCTTGACAGCAGAGACAAAGTTCCCCTAATTTGTCCTTAGGGAGCAACACAGCTGCTGGTCCCAGGAGGTGTTCATGGCCACACATCTCTTTCCGCTCCTTGTGACTGGACAGTGCTCCTTATTTGTGGGCATCTGGGAACCTTGCTTCCTGGCCTCCCAGGGCAAGACTTAGAGCTGGCTTCAGGAATCTTCTGGTAACCTAATAAATGTGTCTTGTTGTGTTGTGAAAGGCCTGAATATGAAATGGTGGAGCAGGGGGAGAGGCTTCCCTGCCTTTCAGTACTGTGCCCTTGACATTCCCTCACTCTTCCCCCTTCTCCAGCAATAAACAATTACTGCCCCTCCCCCTACCGCATCCTTCCCCTCCTCACCTGAGGAGGGCCCTGGCCCTCCCTAAAGGATGCTCCCTGCCTCTTCCTCCCTGCAAGCCCTTTGGAGAGGAGGCTGTTTAGTTGGCCACACTTCTGGCCTCCTGCCACTGGGAAACAGGATTGTCATGTTCAAGTTCCTATTGTGCCTCCTCCACCATGCCTGCTCTAGGGACTCCCTGGCCATTCCCTGCCACTGTGTGCTTCCCAACTGCACCCCTGTTACCTCCAGGATCCAAGGCAGCCCTTCCTCTCACAGAGGCACTGGCCCTCTGGCTTGGGCTTCTCCCCACCCCAAGGGCTGCTGGCATCCTGGAAGCTCAAGAGCTCACAGAGGTCAGGGGTAGCAAGCTGGGGACCATGTGCTGGATCCAGATGGCTAACCTATTTTGTTTGGTCAGAATCATGTTTTTAAAGGCCCCGGCTGGGGAAGGACCTCAAATCCTCCAGACTTTTAGGGGCTAGATTCCCTCCACATCCTGCTGTTCTGCTTTAGAGCTCATTCCTGAGGCCACCCCTGCCCTAGAGCTGTCCAGATTCTGAAATACACCTGCTGACCACAACTTCCCTCCTTCCCCTTCGCTTCCTGCTTCCTCCAATCTTGTTCTGTTCTCTGCACACGGACCTCCAGCCCTCAATCCCACCCTGCTCTCTCAGGCTTCTGTTCTCTCTTTGTTTTCCTTCCCCTGCCTCACCAGTTCCCCCAGAACCCCATGTCTTTCTGTTGGAAGCCTTGGATGAATCTAGCCATCCATCTTCAGTGGGATCATCCTAAAAAGCAAAGTTGGGGGGCGCCTGGTTGGCTCAGTCGGTTAAGTGTCCGACTTCGGCTCAGGTCATGATCTCGTGGTTCACGAGTTCAAGCCCCTCGTCGGGCTCTGTGCTGACAGCTCGGAGCCTGGAGCCTGCAGCCTGCTTCTGATTCTGTCTCCCTCTCTGACTCTCCCCCCATTCATGCTCTGTCTCTCTCTGTCTCAAAAATAAATAAACGTTAAAAAAAATTAAAAAAAAAAGAAAGTTGGCTAATTCTTTGCTTTCCTACAAACTTTGAGATTCTTCAGCCACAGGGCTAGTGGTACTAAGAATAAAGACACACTCCTCACCTGACCTTTCAGAAGGCCCCGTGTGCTCTGCCTGTTGCAAACCTCCTCTGCATTGTCTCCTCCCAAACTCATACCAGCCCTGTGACTCTACATGCTGAACTTTTTTTTTTTAATTAAAAAAAAATTTTTTTTAATGTTTATTTTTGGGAGAGAGAGAGAGACAGAGCATGAGCGGGGGAGGGGCAGAGGGACACACAGAATCTAAAGCAGGCCACAGGCTCCAAGCTATCAGCAGAGAGCCCAATGCGGGGTTCCAACCCATGAACTGTGAAATCATGACCTGAACCAAAGTTGGACGCCTAACTGCCTGACTGAACCACCCAGGCACCCCTACATGCTGAACTTCTTAGCCATCGCAGCCCCTTTCAGGAACCTATACCTGCACAACAGCTTTCCCCCACTCATTCTTCCCTTGGCTCACCTTAGTCTTTATTTTTGAAAGAGCGTGAGCAGGGGAGGGGCAGAGAGAGGGAGACAGTATCCGAAGTGGGCTCTGTGCTGACAGCAGAGAGCCCGGTGTGGGGCTCCGACTCATAAACTGAGATCATGACCTGAGTTGATGCCTGATGCTCAATGAACTGAACCACTCAGGTGCCCCAACCTTAGTCTTATTTTAAAACCCAACGGTTTCTAAGGGTAGATATGTCTTTGTGTAAAGGCACCGAACAAGGCCAGTGAGATTATACCATGAATAGATAAACAGCTGCTACCTCTAAGGAGAGCAGGAGGCGATCGGGATTGAGGGAGAGAGTTGGTCAAAGGGTACTTTAGCCTTATGGGTAAGTAAAGTTTCTACTTTTCACAGGGAGATTATACTATGTATTTATTGCTTGTGAGATATACAAAGAAACAAATGAGGCAGTTCAATACCAGGAAGCCTTCCCTAGACTTCCCAGGCAGATGGAGCTGTTTCCTTTTCTGGGATCAAATAGCATTTTCCTTGTGTTCTAGGAAATAACTGTGTTGTACTTTGTTGGTGCCTTTCTCCTTCTGGGTGAACATCCCTGAAGGTAGTTAACTTTAATCCATGCTCCCAGTGCCCAGCAGAGTGTGTGGCCCACAGCAGGTGCTCAGGGAGTGCTGAACCCAAAGCATTGCCTCAGTCAGTGGGAAGCGCTTTGAAAGCACTTGCATGGGATAGGTCTGACCTTAGTCCTGAGAAAGATTGTTAAAATATCCAAGGAAGAACGTCTCCAGGAGTCTGAAATATGGGTAGGAGTCTCTGGGCTCTTGGACTGGATCAACATGAGGATGGGGCTGGCATCCCCAAGGCCAGGATCCAAGTCAGGTCTAGTCTTGTCACGTGGCATGCTTCTGAAGCCACTTCCTCTTCGGCAGTTAATCTAAGAGCAAGGGCTATATCCCCAAACGTTGAACTTCTCAGGCCCAGCCTTAATCTGTATCTCTAAGGTGAATGGGTCAGCCTAAAGAAACAGGCCAGGAGGCCTGGAGTTAGGAGGACATGCACACCAGTGAGTGCCCCACACTTGGAGGGAGACTTGAAGGCACCTAGAATCCCAGATTGTAATCATGGGAGTCTGCTACTTTCACAATTTTCCAGAGAAATCTTAGCTCCCAGGCCATAAAATGCTTCTTAGGCCCTATCTATTGCCCATAGGCAAGAGGGCAAAGGGGTGGCCTTAATGGGTCAAGATTGGGGCCTAGAGTGGGTAGGGTGGCTTTTAGAGTTGTAAGGTGGGTACCATGTGGCCAGAACAACACTTCTGACTTGGATGTGCAAGTGGTAAGGAGGCTGTGGATGGGTCTGAATTAGTCTAACATCTAAGAACGTCCCCAGCCAGCCCCTGTATTCAACCTTTTTTTTTTTTTTTTTAAGTTTCTTTATTTTGAGAGAGGGAGAGAGCATAAAATCTGGGGAGAGGCAGAGATAAGGAGAGACAGAATCTCAAGCAGGCTCCATGCCATCAGCGTACAGCCCGATGCAGGGCTCGAACTCATAAACCCTGAGATCATGACCTGGGTCAAGATCAAGAGTCGGATGCTTAACCAACTGTGTCACCCAGGCACACCCCCTGTATTCAACCTTGAATAGGACAGCCTTCCTGGGGTCTTAGGACAATGAGGCTAGGTCCTTGGGCTCCTGCAGGGATAAGCGCAGTGGTAGTGGCTGGAGGCATTTGGTGAGCAGCCCCCTCTGAGCCTCCCCCTTCCTCCAAGCTATTCACTCACCACCCCACCATGAATTGCTAAAAGGAACATCTGATCACACTACAGGCCTTTAGACCTCAATGAGAAAAACTGTCAGCCAGCCCATCTCTTTGTAAGTAACTTTTATTTTTATTTACAACAGAATCGGTGGCTTCGTTCCTCCATCTTTAGGAACAGTTGGCATCAGCAGCCAGATGGAAAGTCCGCCGTGAAGTCAAACTCATTCTGCCCCAGCCACAGCTCTGGCAGCTCATTGGCCCGGTCCAGTCCCAGTTCCACCACCAGCGACATCAGCACCTCCTCATCCACTGGGTCCGAGTCGATGATAGCAGGGCTCTGGGCACCAGTAGAAGGAGAGAGTGACCCCGCCCCTCCCGCCTGAGCTGCAAAGCCCCAGTTTTGTAGGGGCCCTGCCTCCCCAGGTTGGCCCGTAGTAGTGGCAGCCATCCCATGATACTGGCTATTGAGTTTCTGCAGCTGCATACTGGCCAGCAGATGAGGGGCAGGGTGCAGGTTGAAGGGTGGGGGTTTAGTGGGAGGGGTGGCGGTAGGAGAGCCTATTGGAGATGGAGATCCTGAGGAACTAGTGGGAGCCCCACTGGCCTTGGTTCCATTCGAGGCTACCCCAGGGTAGTGCAGAATGGCCACTGCTTTGCGGTCTTTCACTCCCAGGTTAGAGTAGGTCAGAGAGCTCATCTCTTGGTTGGCATCCTAGAAGAGAAAGAAAGGCACAGCATGGTAGCCCTGTTAATGGTTCTGCCAGCGCCATTCATCAGGCTCAGAAAGCCCCTATGTGCACTTCCTTTGGGGCTAGTGGTGGGGAGGGAAGAAGGAGGCCCCATGGAAGGTTAGGCTTCCAGCTCGAATATCCTTTTACTACCATGGTTCTGAGCACGGAGCTCAGACCCAAGTCCTCCGTGCTGGGCACCCACCATCCTAAGTGGGTTCATGGCTTTCATCTCTTTCTCCCTGACTCTTCCTTCACTTCACCATTTTTCTTTTCACTTCACCATTCTGAAAAGGGCATCTCATTGGCTCTCTTCTCAGCCTCACAGCAATCTTTGCAATGGAGTGGTCTTATGACCCTCTATTTCTCTGTTCCCTTTATCTGCCATCTTCCAACACCTCGGTGGGCTCAATTTGACCACATTTAGGCAGCAGCTATTCTCAGCCTCCCCAAAGAAATCGCTGCTGTTTCTTTCCTCTCTGCTACAGGACACTAGACACCATGCATAGGAGGGCCTATCACCAGGCCCAGATCAGTTTGTCTTTCCATGCTTCAGGGTCTCCATCTGCAAAATGGCACCAGTTACCTCCTTTGCAGGTGAGGTGCCACCCTTGACATCAAGTGCAGGCCTCGACATGGTTGGCATTTCAGAGCCTTGGCAGAAGTTGGATAAACTGGTGGGAGATGATGCTGCCAGCTGGAACTTTTGTGCTGTATGTGAGGGAAAAGAGAGGATAAGGACACAGTCTTCGTTGACCAAGAAAGCACTAGCAAAGTCCTAAGCAGGGTAACTCCACACAGCTACAAGGCAAGGATGGCACTGGGGTTAGACCCAAGACCAGAAACCACCTGAGCACAGGGAGGAGATCAAGCTAGAACATTGGCCCGAGACAGGAAAGGTGCTTGATTTAGCCATATGCTGCCCAGGCAGCAAGCTACCCACATCACCAAGGGGGGGGGGGAGGGGCACACGTTATTGTTTCCTCACACAAGTGACTTCAGGGCCCCAAGTATGTGTGTGAGGTGCACAGCTTCTGATTCTGAGGACAGGAATGTCCCTGAGCAAGTAGCACACTTTCTCAGTGGGCCACTGGTGTCCAAGGCTGGAGACCTGAGACCTCCACCGGGATTGGGAAAGAGGGGAAAGAGTCAGGGCAAGGAAGACCTGGAAAGCTGGCTGCTTTGGCCCAGGGAAGGAATACGTCCCCAAAGCTAACATCATGGGGTTCCAAAGCCCTGCCTTGGGCACGGGTCTGAGAGAACCTGGGCTGATCAGGGTGGTCCGGGGATGCTAAGGCAGCCAGAGAGCAGCTAGAAATGTCTCAATTTTCTCCATGTCTCCAAGACAACCCTGGCAGCACTGGACTTTCCCAGGATATCTGCTCTGAGCCCAGCCACACCCATCTGCAGGGACTGGTGGGAATGACTCTTCCTGGAGGGAAACTGAGGCACTGAGATGGAATGGCTTTCCCATTAGGTAGCTGTGGTTCTGGGAGCAGGATCTAATACCCCTCTACCCACATGCCTCACCTGACCACTGGCCAAGTCATCATACCTGAAATGACTCAAATGGTTCCTGAAGAAATGATTTCCTAGCTCAAGTGCCAAAGGATTAAGGGGATGAGGGGGAAAAGAATGCCCCCAAACCAGAAAATAAAAAAAAATCTCTGGAAAATCTCAAGTTTTCTTCCTAGAAGCTTGTTTTTTTAATCCCTATATATTCTAGCCTTCATGATGACTTAGAGATGTAGAATTTCCTATTTACAAATACCTCATAGCTCAAAGATTCTTCAGGACCTTAAAAAGTATCTCTAATCTTTCCAACAAGGTTTGAATTCTCCATACCTCCCTCTCTCCAGTGGTCATTAGAAATCTGTTCAGATACTTCTAGAAAGTGACCACTTACTGCCTGTCTTTATCATCACCACTTACTTATCAGGGAAGGAGGCAAGAAAAATAGAGAAAGGAAGAAGGGGGTGGGGAGAAAACATGAGAAAATCAGCTTCTGGGTTTGCCACTGCTGCTTGATTGGAGCCCTGTTTCTTCTCTGAGGCAACATGAAAATATTTCAAGCCAGCGATCACAAGACAAGGAATCTAATCCATGTCATCTTCAAGAACCCAGTACCTTTGGTATCAAGCAATTTCATATCCAAAGAAAAAATGTCTGGGGGGGGGGGCTTGACCATCTTTCCCCGTTCCTATCCAGCCTCCCTCCCTTATGCTGCTAGGCAGCGGAACGCACCAATACTAAACACAACAGTCACGACATCATGAAGAAACAGGAGAGAGAAAAAAGAAGTAGGGGGTGGGGGAAGAACGAGAAAAAAAAAGTATCTCTGTTTTGATATCAGTTCTTGGGAAGACCATTTTACCATGTCTCCCCCTTCAGGCTGGGAGCTCCCCTAGGCGGGACCCTGTTTCCATTCGGATCTGTGGCCTCCCATCACCGCCACCTCTCCACCCGCCCTGAGTCTGGGCTCAGTAGGCGCTCAGTAAGTGTTATTGAATCCGTCTGAAGAGGCAATACCATTTCGATCGGAATGCGGGCCCCTGCTTCCCCCAGTTTGTCCCCACTCTGCCACCCAGTCCATTCGAAGGCAAAACTTGGCAGCGCGGAAACGTCCCAGGCTGCTCTCCAAGCTGCGGGCTGACCACTGCGAAACCTCTGTAAGAGCCGGCTGGATAACCCGAAGCAACAAGTGCCTCTTCGCCCGCCGGTGTCGCGGGCCCCAGCCACCAGTTCCCAGTCCCGCCTCCCTCCCTTCCCTACGGATCTTTCCTTGGGCCGCCAGCCCCCTCCCGCCTCGATGGGGGTGGGGAAGGTAAAGGAAGTAAAGAGAAGGGAGAGGCAGGTAGGGGGCCGAGTCTTTGACCTGTTGGGGGACCAAAAGTTAAAATGGCACCAACCGGATGGCTCCATCTCGATTGCTATTTTCTCACTCAGGAGAAATTTAAAAATCCAAACAGTACTGCGGCTTGGCTTGGACGTGCTCTAACCAGACCAGTCAGTTTCGCCACCTGAAAACTAAAGGCCCGTTGTTTGCGGACAGCTCGGCTGCCCTCCCCGCCGCATCCCAGGTAGAGCTGCGGGAGTTGGGGGCGGCTGGGAGCATCCCTGCTCGGTGGGCGCGAGCACCCAGGCCACCAGGGCCTCGAGCGTCGGCTCCTGCAAGTGCGCTATCACGAACCGATTGTAGAGACTGGATGGGCGGGCGGGGAGAAGCGCGGGGTCTTGGGCTCCGCAGCGAGTTTGGGTCCCCGCGGTGTTTCCGCGCGCGGGGGCGCACTCGGCGCCGGCAGCCACTCCCGCGCCTCATCAACACTTACTGAGCGCCCGCTGAGTACCCGACGCGGCCGCAGGCTGAGCCTACCCCCTAGCCAAGCCGCCTGTAATCAGTGCTATAAGCCGGCTGCCAGAAGAGTGAGAGAGGCTCGGAGAGGTTCGGTAACTTGCCCAAGGTCACAGCGCTAGAAAGTGGCGGAACCGGGATTCGCAGCCAGGGCGGTCTGACTCCCAAGTCCGACGCTCGGTGAGGCAGGGACCCAGTGCGCGGCCCGGCCCAGCCGCCCTCGTTTATAGGGAGAGGGGTGTGTGCGTGGGTGTGCGTGGGTGTGTGGGCGTGCGTGTGGGGGAGAGTAAAGGTCTGCTGAGCAGAAGAGGCAAGTTGCCCAAATTCGCTAACTTCCATCCCGCAATTCCGCTAAACTTGTCCCCCCAAAAGCCCCTCTCGTCTCCAGTCCCCGAAGGAAACCTGAGCTTTGTGCAGCCCCACAGCCGGAGCGTCCAGATGCGGTCTGGGCGATTAGCAAAGTCGGTGGAAGCCAAGCTGGAGAAAGCGCGGACGCGGGGAGAAAAGGTGCTGCGGTCTCCCCGAGAGAAGCGGGCGCCCGGCCCGGCTGGCGGAAGGCGGGCGCGCTGGCGAGCGAACAGGCTCGCTGGTGGGCAGGCGGCGGCCCCTCCGCCCCCAGTAGAACAGCTTTCAAACAGAAAACAAGTCCCCCAGAGGACCCCGGCCCGCCCGACCGCCGCCCGCTCCCCACACCCGCTCCGCTGGAGTCCCTGGCCCCACCGACCAGCCCAGCGCCCTGCCCGGCGGCCCGGCTTACCTCTGCGACGCCGCCTGCCCTGGAGAGAGGGAAGCGCGGAGCCCGGTGAGCCGCGGGCGAAGCGGCGGAGCCCCCAGCCCCTGGCACGCACGCCGCCACCGCCGCCGCGAGCCGGTCGCGCTCAGTGCCACCCGACCCCGGGGCGCCTGGGTAAAGCCCGCGCCGCCGCGCCGCCGCCGCACCGCACA